AGCACCCGCACTGAACGGCTGCTTGTGCTCCCTGGGGAGCACACCCGAGGCTCCCTGAGGGCTGAGCCACATGGCCCAGCTGCAGCTTCAACATCTTATGAGGAGAAGCAGCCCGTGAAACAGAGAGCATAGAAGTCTAAATGTACTCTTTTCCTTTTACTTTTTTTTGTTTTTTAATATTTAATTGAGGGCACGTGTTGCCCGTAATTCAATCAATTAAGCAATTGCAGTAAATCAATGAGATAAATACAAATAACATGAGGCTACGGCTTTGAGCTAGGCAGGGTTAGCAATAAGAGTAGGCTAGGAGTGGGGTTAAAAGCTGGGACAGCCTCAGCTGGAGAATCAGGATGTCTGGTAGAAACTAGCTGGTAAGGGAAATTCCCCTTCCCTTTCCCTCTTACGTGTCTTCTCTAAGGTCCCGAGGTGACGGTGTTGGTCAGCACAGCACCGTACCTGTGAGAGGGCTGCTGACAAGGTGAGGAGGATGACAGCAAGGAGGGAGGGTGACTGGTTAGGGCAAAGCTGGCCGTGGTGTGAGGTCTGAGCGCAGGAATCCTCAGGAGAGGAAGGCCATGGGGTGACCGTGGTAACCGCTCCAGGGTGGCAGTCCAAGGGGTGGGTGCCTTTCCCTGCTGGTGGCCTCCTCTGCCTGCACAGCCAAGGGTCTACCTGTCCCTTGCCATCCCATCTGTGGTTCTCAATGGGTCTAAAGTAGCCGAGCAGGGAGCTTTGTCGCCCTCGCTGTGGCCGCTGTCGCTCCCGGCTGGAGGGAATCCCTCTGCTGGGACCCGTCTTTTCCCTCGGGTGCCGGGCAGCTGCCCCTGGAGCCTTAGGCTCTCCACAGAACTCGGCTGTGGGTGGCAATGCAGCCCCGGCTCTCTGGGGGTACCCAGGGTATCAATTTGAAGGGGTTGGAGGGGACCTGAGGAGAGAGGCATGAGGAGGTGTTGGGGGAGTGGGCAGGAGCCATACCATGAGGGCTGGGGAAGGAGCACAAGGGCTGCCAGCAGTAGCCTAAAAGAGCAGAAGTGCCCTGATCGCAACCCTAGGAGGGTGAGGCCCACGAAACCCGTCCCTCGTGGGGACCCTCGTGGATGACACGCAGGGGTGGGCTGGCACAGTCGAGGCCCAGCAGGCGTACTTAAAAATCATACAAATACTTCCGTAAAACGGCTTAAAGCGGCAGAAGGACAAGTCCTACGGGCACCTGGGCGTCCTGGGGAACACGGCGGTTTGGGAAAGGCATGCGTCAATTTAGCCCTGGTGTTGACTTAAGCGAAAGTGCTAAGCCATTCCTAAACCTAAGTCAATACAGACTTAAGCCAAAATTGTTATTAACGAGCTCTAATCTGATTTAAGAGCCTCCGAGCGAGCCGTGTCTACAGGACGCGCGTTGCCTTGCGCTGCGCTCCGCGGTGCCCGGTCCCGGGGGGGCCGCAGCGGGAGCGGTCGGGCCGATGCAGCCCCGGGCAGGGGGAAGGCGGCTTTCGGGGAGAGCCGGGCCGCCGTGATTTGGGCCGGCCGGTGATCTCCCTCCGCGGGATAACTTCTTAAAACTGTACCCAGCTCGGCTGCTCTGGGGCGATTCGGATCTGTGCAAGCGCCTCCGGGCCGGGGCTGCCGGGCCCCCTCTGCCGTGCCCGCCCGGGGGTAGTGCCGAGCGCCGGCAGCTCCGCTCGCTCCGAGCGGGACATGCCAGTGCATTTCTTCCCCCGTCCCAATGGGGCAGTTGAGCCCTCCACTCCACCCCTCACTGGGGGCCTTTCTTTTCTTCCCCACCAGCTTTGAGCAGCGCTGTTTCAGATTGGCCTTTTTATGTTTGATATAAAGAATAGTTGTTGGCCAATTCCATCTTTTCATCGCTGCTCTCCAGGCCCGGGTCCAAGCGGCTTGTCAGATGCTCATTAACTCCCCCTTTGGCTCTTTCCAGTGTGTCTCCTAAGCTCATTGTGCCAAGAACTAGCGCTTCTTTCTCTTTACATGGCTCCCTTTCTCTGCTCCATCAGGGAGACAAATTACTTTCCAAAAGGGATCGCCAGGGATGGTTTAATGAGAATTTCTCCAGCGCTGGCCGTGGAAATCAATGTAGTTAACATTCGGTGCACTTAATTGGACTTTTCTCTTCTGCCTCCTTCAAAAAAACTCTGAAGCTATCCTGTTAATCTCTCATTTGTAATCAATTGTGTTGACTAAACAAAAGTCTAGGTCGTCCTTTCTTCCTGTCCCAGACAATCCTTTGTTGCCTCTAAATGCCTCATTCTTGAGTGCTCCTGGTCGTGTAGATGGGTCCGATTTTTGACAGTTCATTATTGCGCTTTTGTCCATTTAATCTCCCTCGCTGTGTTTTGCATGTGCATGCCTTAATGAGCTCCGTTGGCAATTAACATGTTTCTAGCAGCAAACTGGTTGCTCAGACGTTTGGAGAGCGGAGTGCAGGGAAAAGGGCAACGCAGCTGCCTGTAGGTTGGTCGCTTCCCGGTGCCCGGCGCGGTGCCGGGACGCACCTGGGAGCCGCCCGGTCCCGGGGAAGCGCCGGGCCGGGCCGGGCGGGCCGAGGGGGAAGCACGGAGGCGCTGGCACGTCGCTCTCTGCGCAGAGGCACCTCTAACCCTCCCCCCGAGGCACCGGCACCGCTCAATCTGTTGTGTGCGCGGCTGCGGCGCCGGGAAAGGGGTTTTTGTGCGGGTTTTGTGTTATTGAGGCTTGCTGGCAAGAGTGCCGAAGTGTGAGCAGTCGTGGACAGCAGAAACATCTTGTGAGGGAGAAGATAATTGGAGTCTCTGGCGTGTGTGTGTCTGACAGAGCCGCCCCTCCCCCGCGATCTGCGGCTTGTGTGTGCCGGGATCCGGGCGAGAGCCGGGGGGGTCCGGGGCCGGCCGGTGGCGAGCGCGGCCCCTTCCCGGTGCGTCCGAGATCGGGGGGAAGCCGGAGCGACGGCCGGTCCGGGGAGGGCTGCCCACCGCCCCCAGGAGGGGCCAGGTGACCAAGCCCACCAGCGGCGGCTGACACGGCACTTCAGGGTGCCCCCAAAATGCCCTCAGCCGTGACGGGGATGCCGCCCTCCCCCCAGACGGCTCTGTAAACAACGCCGCTTTTTATAAAAATGCGATAAGAACGCACTTCCTTAGTTCCCTTCCCGGGAGTGGGTTTCGCACTGCTCTCGCCCATCAGGAGAGCTGAGGAAGCAGCCTGCGCGATGTCTGTGGGGCCCGCAGCCGCGCCTGGCTCCCGCTTTCGGCTCCCGGCTGGCAGCCCAGACCTCTTCCCGGCGCCCGAGGTGCGGAGAGAGCGGCGCTTCCCCCGGACCTGGCAGCGGGACCGGCTCCGTAGGCACCCCTCGGGATGCGCACGCCCCGCTCCCGTCCTCCGGGACCTCGTCCTGCCATGTCCGCCCCCGGCACAGTGTCCTCAGGGAGAGAGGGGTCCCTCCCGCTGTCCCCGGCCCGTGGGTTGTCCCGCCCCGTCTGTCGCGGCGGCGTGAGAGCCAGGCTCGGCTCCCGCCTGCCGGGGGTTCAGCCGCAGCCCCTTCCCTTGCGGGACCGTTTCCCCCTGACAGGGTTTTCGGAGCGGTGATTTAGCGGTGACGGGGTTTGCATTTTTTTTTTTTTTCCTTTTTAAAATTTTCCTTTTAACCTAAAACTCTCCCAATTTTTTTTTTAACAATTTTAGTTGTGGTCTTTCCCCGCTGCCAGGATCACTGGACATTGTTTTTCGTTCCTCAAACCGTCAAAACGCTATTTCAGACTCTAGAAAATGCAAACCCCGAGTGACTCTAAAAATCGCCCCGTCTCTACAGCGGGAGCGCAGGGGCCCGGAGCCCCGGCCCCAGCCCGCTCCTTGGAGAACATCGCAGCCTAATAATGAATCCAGAAACCCGGAGCGAGGGGTTGACTCCCGTTCCTGCGCTCGGCGGCGAGCTGTGCTCGTCCTCGCCTCCCTCTATTTAACCACTCAATTAAGCGGAGAAAGGTGAGCTCCCCATTACGCCGTCCCCAGGCATTTCGGTGCCTCTCTCGGTCCCCTCTTCATTGGCAAGCCCGGCCCGAGCAGCACGCACACGCCCGGCCTCCTCAATCTCCTTTCTCCGCTAGAATAATATTGTTCCTAACGACGTGGCCGGAATAGACACTTGCGTATTAAAAGTGAGGGAGGGGGGGAGATGAGAAGGGAATATTTAGTGTAATCCAAGTGCTTGATTATCCATATTCTGATCACAAAGAGTTTCTGAGGCCTGCTGGGAGTGATTAGATTAATGTAATGCGGTTTGAAGGGTCTGTGTTTTCTCTCTTAATTTGGGTCATTACTCGGAAAGCAAGCGTGAGATCATTTTATCTGCATGCAAGGAAAGATAGTCATTCAGGAGCGGTTTAAACACGCCGTAATGAACCGACCCCGAAAAGCGGCGCTGGGAAACTCCGAGCCGCCCTTCGCGCTGCCGGTCGGGGCCGCGCAGCCCCGCCGGGGGTCCTGCAAGGGCTCTGACCCCTTTCCGGGGGGCGGCAGCAGCCCTCTGAAGCCGCCCGGCTCCCTCCCGCCCTCCTTTTGCTCCTGTGATGCTCGGCGGGCCCTGGAGCGGCAGGGCCCGGCTCCCGCAAGCCGCGCTCGCACGGGGGGACAGCGCCGTGCAGCCCGCTCGGGCCGGGGCCCAGCTGGGAAATGAGACACCTGCGAAGGGCCGGTTTATTGTCCCGTGATAGATATAGATATAGATATATTCCTCACTTATTCGAGCGTACATTTAAAATGGAGATTTACAGACACGTATAAAGAGCGCTGTCCTGGCGCCGGGCGGGGGGCGGCCAGCCCGGCCCGTCCTGGCCCGCTCCGGCGGCGCAACGCGCCATTAAATAAGATTCCTCTTATATACAACTGCGGCTCGGGGTCGCTTGCTACCGGCGGCTGAGCTCGCTGGGAAAAGGACAGAGAAGCGAAGGCTGGTTTGGATAAATAGTGCTGGCCTGGTTGAGCAGGTCCGAGTGTGGCGGCGCGCCGGGCCCTTAGCTCTGCCCGCTGCGCCCAGGGTCCCGCGGCGGAGGAGCGCTGGAGACGCTGTCGTGCAACTTTCGGACGTGCTTCTTTAAATCAAAGTTTCTGCAAAATCCTTTCCCGCAAGTGACACACGTAAAGGGCTTCTTGTCATTGTGGGTGTGCATGTGGAAAGTCAAGTTATAGATCTGGTGGAAGGCTTTGTTGCAAATGGTGCACTTGTACTGCTTCTCTCCGCTGTGGGTCAGCTTGTGGTTCTTGTAGTTGCCTGCGAAAGAGGAAAAATACGGAAAAGGGAGTTACCCGAGGGTGCCCGGACCGCACGGAGCACAGGTAAGGGGGGCATTAGGAAGTGTCTCCACCCGCACCCCCGTCCCACTTGTCAAACTCGGTCCTCGTCAGCGCGGAGCAGCGCGCAACTGGCACGGCACAAATGAGAGGCAGGGTCAGCCCGGTGACCCGCGGCAAACGGAGGGCTCTGGATTAGGACCAAGGCCCGGCACCTTTCATTTAAAAAGCATTTAGGGGGAACCGTCAGCACTGCCCGGCGATGCGGCCCAGCTTAGAGGGAAAGTAATTGGGAGCGGCGGCGGATCTGCCCGCGCCCCTCGCTTTCCCCAGCCGGGCAGGGCTCGCCGCGTTTAATCCCCGCTAATGATGGGCGAGGGCCCCGACGCGTCCCGGCTCAGCTCACCTTTCTGGTGGAAGCCCTTGCCGCAGAACTCGCAGACGAAGGGCTTGTAGCCGGCGTGGATGCGGATGTGGGTGTTGAGCGTGGAGCTCCTGTTGAACGCCTTTCCGCACTGGTTGCACTTGTGGGGTTTCTCCTGCACCGGGGTGCGAGAGGGGCCCGTCAGTGGGGGCTGCGCGGAGAGCAGGGGCGGCCGCCGCCTCCCGCAACCCGGCCGCCCCCCACCTACCTGGGTGTGGATGATTTTGTGCCGGCACAGGGTGCTGGCCTGGCGGAAGCCTTTCCCGCAGACCTTGCAGACGAAAGGCCGGGCCCCCGTGTGCACCGGCATGTGGCGGGTGAGGTTGTAGTGCGCGTTGAACACCTGCGGGGAAGCGCCGGGAAGGCGAGGTCAGGCACGGCCCCGCCGCCGCCGCCGCCCCCGGTTCCCCCACCCGATGCCGGCGCCCCCCTTACCTTGCCGCAGACCTCGCAGGTAAAGTTTTTGGGCTTGCCCTCCGCCGCCCCGCCGCCGCCGCCCCCCATCTTGGCGTGGCCCTTGGGGGGGCCGCCGCGCTCCGCCGCCGCCGCCTCCTTCATCACCTGGTCCAGGTGTCCCGGCAGCCGCTCCTTGTGGGCGAAGGGAGGCGGCGGCGGCAGCTTCTCGGCCGCCAGCCCCGCCAGCTTGGCGTTCTCCAGCAGGAAAAGCTTCTGGTGGGCCGAGAGCCCCCCCGGCGACGGGGCGCCCAGCAGGCCGGCCGGGAAGAGCTGTCCGTGCAGGAGGTCGGCCGGGTGGTACGCGGCGTCCAGGTAGTTGAAGTAATAGAGGGAGCGGGGGGCAGCCGGAACGGCCCCTGCCTGGTGGATGACCTGCGGCTTGATGAGCCGGCCGCTGGGCTGGCCCAGGGCGAGCTCTGCCTTGCAGCAGACGCCGCAGTTGGCTTTGCAGAGCCCCGCACCGCCCCGCAGGCTGCTCTTCCACAGCTCCGAGTAGTTGAGAGTCTTGGAGGGCAGCTCGTAGCCCAGAGGCGGGATGGGGATCACGCAGGGCAGGGGCGAGCACAGGCTCAGCGGCTTCTTGCCTGGCTCCGGCCCCGGCCCGCCGTGCCGCTCCTCGAAGGCCGGCTTGGGCTCCGACGTCTTTGCCATGATCCGCTCGATGGAGAAGGCCAGGGTCTTGGAGGGGTTAGCGGTGGCGGCTCTGCCGTCGTGCCGGGGGCAGGAGGAAGGCATGACCGTCTCCAGCGACCCCGGGCTCGCCATGTCGCTCCGCCGTGCGGGAACTTGGTGTGAGCAGCGACTCGCTCCCGCGCTCGGCTCTGCATTCCAGAAAAGCCAGGAGACAAATCAATTTAATAAGCACCTTGTTCTCCCCCCACCCCACCCCCCACCGGCACCCCCTCCCTATTTACATTCAAATGAACATATTCAAGAACAATGGCACGTAGGGTACCAGATTACTGCTCATTAAGCGGAACACGCTAAAGTAACATGCAAGCTAGACCTTGTTAGTATTTAAAAAAAAAAAAAAAAAAAAAAAAAGGAAAGAAAAGAAAAAGAAAAACCTTCCCCAGCCCAATGCCACCCAGCCGAGCCCCACCGATGGCCACGGTCCGGGAAATGCGGGAGCAGGGGCGGGGGGCACGGCGAGGGGCGGCGGGGCTCGCCTTGGGACCACTTACCTTTGCCCAGCTCCGGCGAGACTCATCCAAGCAGCGCAGCGTGGCCACAGTCACATTTTGATAGCAAACATCTTCCTGAGCGTCAGATCACGGTCTCGAACATTTAAAGCTGACATCATATGAAGTCACTTTGAGCAGAATGACATGGGGATGCCACCATGGATCTTCCCCAAGCCGAGGCGCCGGGCTGGAGCGCGGTGGGTTGGGGCAGAGAGAGGAAGACGAGCCCCCCCTCTCCACGCACAATTTCCTTCCAGTTTAAGACGCACAAATCGCTCGTGTGCGAGCTGGGTTTTTCCTCTCTCTCTCCCTTCTTAAAAAGCAACTTGCAAAGCAGAGGAATCGTTTTGCATGTGGCAAATTAGAAGGCAAGTGCGATTCACAAGTTGGGTGGAAAAGAGTGCTCCAGTTCTTGCTGGGGTTAGAAGAGCCACTCCGAATGAGCGTGAGGATTTTTTTTTTTTTTTTTTTTTTTTTTAAGAAGGGGGAGAATGATTTTTTTTTTTCTCTAAAGCAACTACCACGCAACCATGCTCGAGTTATTTTGGCAACCCATCTGCAATCAGCTCCGTTGCAACCGAGCTGGAAGATAATTAATAAATTGTCACTTATCTGCGAGCCTCTCCAGCATGTATAAATTAATAGCCAACCCATTAATTAGGACAGTGTATTAATGTTAATTAAACTAAGTTTAATTCCAGCCCTCTCCCCTCTCAGGGTAACTGGTGATTAGCCTTAAATAAATGCGGAGGGAGTCGTGTCCAGGACTCGAATTCGCTGCTGAAAAAAAAAAAAAATTAAAAATAATAATAACAAAAAAGACCCGTGCTCAGCGAAGAGAAGTTCTGCAAGTTGCCACCCCCAAAGGTGTCCGCTGCCCCGGGGGGCACCCGGCGACTCTCCCTTGCCCTTGTAGCCCTTGTCCTGCCTCCCCCCACACTCCCCCCAGCCCCCCAAAATAGGCGACGCTACATTATAGCGCCTGGATGCCGGGGTTTCTTTCCTTCCTCTCTCTAATTAAAACACCGTGATGCGGGAGGGGAGGATTTGCAGAAACCTCAGATGCGAGGACGCGGTAATTGAGAGAGTCCCGCGTACACCTGTTTGGGGGGGCCCGGCTGCAGGGCAGCACCCCCCGGGCTCTGATTAGCCGCCCCGTCCCTTGCCGGGGCTATTCAGCCGAACCAATTTTCCCCCGGCGATTCAGGGCGCTCAATTCTCTTTCACTTGTAGCCACTATAGCGCTGCGTGGAACCTGGTTTTGTGTGTTTCTAAAATAAAGGGGAGGATTATCCGGGGGAGAGGGGGGGAGCGAAGGGTTTAGATTGAGCCTGGCCAGAGGTAAAGCAAGCAATGAAAAGGCCCCTATATATATATTTTCCCCCCTCCCTCGCGCGTCTAAGAAAGTTTAGAGGAATTCGGGGGTTTTGTGCGGCGCTGACAAAGCCGCGCCTCCTCTCCCCGCCGGGACAGCTCGCCGGCGGCTGTTTGCAGACAGGCTTTTTCACCTGCGAACCACAACACGCTCCAGAAACAAACTTTAAAAGCGGCGGCCGTCCCGGGCTGCCTGCGGGCGGAGGGGAGCGCCCAGCCCCGGGGGGACACCCCGCCTGGAGCATCCATCAGGTGCTGGCGTCCGCCCAGCCCTGCCCGCCCGGATCTGTCGGGTCAGCGTGCAAGGGAGCGACGGAACCGTCCCGCTTCTGCCGGAGAGGCTGGGACGGGACCGCGGAGAAGCGCAGAAGCCGTGCCCGGTATCTGGGCTGCGGGAGAGCCCGGCTGAGCCCCGGGGAGGCACGCTGCGCTTGAGCCGCCGTGCCCTCCCAGCCCGCACCTCCTCCAGGCAGCGGGAGCGGGCAGGCGGCGGCTGCGCTGGGCTGGGCTCCGCTCACTCCCGGGGCTCGCCGGCTTTAGCGAAGTATTTAATTAGCCTCCACAAACTTCTTTTCCTCGCCTGCAGATTATACTGAGTGGAGGGTTGGGAACTATTTTACACCTTGCCACTCACATGTTAATTAATCTCTATCTAACCCTAATTGCAGTTTATTCAAGCACCGCTCAAACAGCTCACCCACACAATAAACACTGGGGCTGCTTTTATCCATATTACTCCCCGCTCACACGTTGAGTAATTAACTCCAGTACCAACTAATAGTGCAAACAAATATTTTCTGTAAACGAGATGATTTCGGGCAGGATAAAAGAAGGGCTGCGGAGCCGGGACCGGGAGCTCGCTGCCAGCTTCCCCGAGCCGCTCTCGTCCTTGCCGGGGTGTTTGCTCAGCCGGGTCTCTCCCTCTTTCTCTCCTTCCCTGGCCAAGGGGACAGCTGGCGGCTCGCTGCTGCGCACCCACCGCCCTGCCCGGGGCAGCGGGTCCCGCAGGCCTCGGGGCTCCTGGGGGCGAGGAGAGGCAGGGGGGCCCTCCCGGAGCCCGGGGCTGCTCCTCCCTGCAGCCCGGAGAAGCTCCCGTGCATCCCAAGGCCGGGTACCGGCTCGGGCCGCGCCGCTGCCTCCCGGCCAGCTCGAAGCCGGGTGCCGCACGCCTTACGCATCAGGGCGTTGAGATCCCAGCTAAGACCCGGGCATCAGAGCTCAGTATTTTAATTGAAATCGCAGGTTTAGGCACAGCTGGAGGCCGTCTCTATCGATTCGACTTCTGCTGTTCCGGCGAGCATATTACAACTGACTGACTTTGAGACAGCTGCCCCAGCCCCGCCGCCTGCCCAGCACCGAGCCCGAGCCCCTGCGCTCCCGGAGTGCCAGGCGGGAGGGGAGGCTCTGGGGGGGCCGAGCGGCCCAGCCCGGCTTTGGGAGGCAGCAGCGTCTGCACGTCGGGCTCCGGGCTCGGCCCCGCGTTCCGCCTCTCCCGTGGAGGCAGCTCTCCCGTGGGGTTTTAATCCTTCACCCCCGACATTTGGAGGGAGAAATGGTTTGCGGATTTTTCCCCAAGAAGGCGCACGCCGCAAAGACGTTCCCATTGCGGACGCGATCGCTTCTACTGTTATTTTTACCCCGCTGCCTCCCCAGAAAAACGAGTGCGGTGCCCGGGCGGGCCGGGCCGGCCCCGTGCGGGGCACGCCGGGTCACCCGGGGCTTCTCCAGCGCCCGCTCCCCTCGGGGGTCCCGTACGCGCCCGGCAGCCCCAGCCCCAAACCCTCCCCGGCTGCTGACATCGAAAACCGGCGGGGGTTCCCCTTTCGCTCCTCGACAGCCAGACCCGCTGGGTGAGGGGCTCCCGGGAACGCGTCCCGGGTGGGTCCCGGGCGGGCGGGAGCGCAGGGCCCCGCGGGCTCGGCCCGGCTCCCCGCGTCCGTCCGGGCACTCGGCACTGGGCATTTCTGGTCCACTAGAAGATAACTTAGGATCCTCCTAGTTATTTAACTTGGCAGCTGCTTAAACTCCGCAGTGGAAGCTGCTGAAAGTTATTAGCATTATGCTTCAATCTCCCCGAAATGGTGGCTTTGATTTCCACGCTGCTTTGCTTTTTATAGGTATTTTTCGAAATACTTTTTTCCCCTAGTTCTCTTCCCTATTATTTTTTAATAGAAGGTGATGGACTGCCGGGTGAGCCACCGGCCCAGGCAATTTGGTTGGGGCTGTCTTTGTGAACCAGGGTGGGGGAACAGCTTTTTCTGCGGCTTTGGTGCTTTGTGCAAGGGTGCGCTGGAGGGGCCCAGGGCTGGGCTGTGCTGCTGCCGGCCCTGGCCCCACCGTGCTGGATTTGGGTCTGCCTCCGTGCAAGGCAGTAATTACGACCTCGAAGGGTCAGCCCAGGGGTGCTCCCAAGGTGTACGGCCGCAAGTCAGTTTGCAGTGGTTAGAGACTGGACAAATTAATGAGCAATGAACAGAGAAGTCAGGATAGCAACGTTTGGGGCAGAGGTGAAGTGAGGGCTGTTACCCGTGTGAATCTTTCAGGTTATTCCTGTGAAACTGCGATATTTGGCCCAAGGGAGCAGTACCCCTGCAGCTCTGTGTGCCTCAGTCCCCACGGGCAGTCCATCCTGTTCTGTGGGACCCATTGCATTGGGGGGTGACCCTGCTTCCCTGTCACCCAACAGACACTGTCACACTGGGGCAGGAGCAGTGCCTGGCAAGGCCACCTTGGATGGAGCAGTGGCTTTGAGACCCTCCCAAGGTATTTTTTCCTTCCTTTTATTGAGTTATGCACGTTACTGCCTAACTATAGGCAGATGATTTTATTTTATATTTTTAGATTTTTTTTTTTTTAATTGGGGACCTAAGTTTTTGGAGCACTGTACAGGTTCCAGAGGAAGTGTGGTTAGTGGGATGTTGGAAGCAAACTGGCTCAGAGTCCTTGCATGGCTGTACTGGTCTATACTGTCAGTGATGGCAGGAGTAACATCGACATTTTCAACCTGAATCCAATTTTAAAAGCTGGTATCTGACCTGCTTCTAAAACCGTTTGAAATCTAGTCCCACTGCAAAGCAACCGGCAGGGCACCGTGGCAGGAGCTGCACAGAGTGCCTCGATGGCAATCAAATGGGCTTATGTAATTCTAAAAATGGCAACTCCTTACTTGCCACATCTCTTTCTGTCTGTGCGGAGAGTCCTGCAGAGCTGCCAAACAGAAGCAATTGAATGAACTCTTTTCCCGGCTCATTCCTCCTTCCGCAGCTCGGAGAAAGTGAGCCAGAG